GTACCATCATCAGAACATGGCTGGGAAGCTTTTTCCAGATGGAAATTCCTGGATGCTGTCAGCTCTTGAGGAAGTGGTCAGAGGGCTTTCAGCCAGCAGGCTGCCAGCCGAGGCCATTCTGGCGAGCAGCAAGGAACAGGCACAAGAGACAAAGTTCCGCTGACAGTCTGATGCACTTGCTACCAGAATTGAGGAGAAAAGATGTCCAGAAGCTCTCGATTTCCCCTGCTGAATGCCCAACTAGTCACACACAAACTCAACATTGTATCTGTCCCCTTAATTATCTATAAAATCTAACTTCTATTTCTAATTTCATTTTTGTTTTCCATGGAACTTTGTTCCTCTCACCTTACAGCACTTCAGTGTTTTCTGAAATTCATCTTTCAGACTTCAGGGATTTGTTTTTCTGGTGCTAGGGCTCCAGAAACCCACCTTTCTTGTGTTAAATCACAATTTGCTGAAGCACAGCTAAATTGTGTGTACATCCATTCTGTTGTTAAAAAAGACTTTCCATCAATTTCTGATTCTTATGGCCACTGATGCAAAGACAGCGAGAGCACATGGTGAAATGAAGGTGTGATTTGCAAGCTGTCAAACTGGAAATTAAGGAATGGTGACAAATAAAACGTCACCTAAACCTTCACGAAAGCTGTTAGTGTGAACTGCCACCAGGGCAGCAACGGGGCCAGCAGGACTCGAGCCGTGCGGGAACGGGGCCATTTGCTGCTTTACGATATCTGAGGCCGCGGTGACCTCGCTACACACGCAACGTCCGGGCACCGCTCTGAAATCCGACGTCACTCCACCGAGCGGAGCGGCCGGCGCTTCCCTCAGCTTGCATCGGGCTGCGGAGCTGCAGCCGCGCCTCAGTTCCGTCACGCCGCCCCAGGCCGCGCTCCCGAGGGCGCGCAGCAGGACGGGCCGCGGGCCGAACTCCGCCCTCCTTCGGCACACCCGGTCCCCGATTCACACCCTAACACCTTCGGGGCCTCGGGTGACCTCGCCCCGCTCGAAGTCTCCCGCCTTCGGCGGTGCCGACGAAGCTCGGGAGCGGCGACGCCCGAGGCTGCACGGCCGGCCGCGCCCTGAGGCGCCGCACGAGACAGAGAGCCGACGGCCCCGAGGTCACGTGCGCGGCGCGCGGTCACGTGGGCGCGCGGCTCACCAGGCGCGCGCCGCCCGCCCGACGGCGGCAGCGGCCCCAGGACGGGATGTAGTCCCGGCTGGCGGCGGCGGAGGGATAACCGGGCGGCGCCGGCTCCCGCTCTGGCCCCAGCCGCAGGGCGCGGCGCCTCCTAGCGGGGCCGGGGTAGATCCCGCCGCCGCCGCCGGCGCCTCCGTCCTTCTCGCGAGAGCCCTCCGCTTTCTGCCCCCCCCCGCCCGCTTCCCAGCCGGTTCGGCGGGGCCGCGCGCGCCTTCACACGGCTGTCGGGGCGGGCGCCGCAGGGCGGGGATGGGGACTCGTCCGGCGGGAACGCGGCGGGGCTCGGGACCCCTCCCCTCCGGGCCGCGGCCCCGTCCCCTCCCGCCGGACAATGAGTCCCGTATGCTAATGAGAGTCTCGCGTCACTTCCGCTCTTTCTCGGCCGCCATCTTGGCCAGGGCAGGTTCTGGGCAGGAGGGACCCGGCTGTATTGTCTGCAGGGAGCCCCCCCCGCACCGCGGCCCCGCACCCCCCGCCCCGGGGACCGAGCCCAGTGCCGCCGCCGCCCCGCCGCTCCCCGTAGCGTCCCCCGCCGCACACCGCCCCCTCCTCCCCCGCTGCCTCCCAGCCCCCTTTGTCTCCCCCGCGCCGCCGCCGGCTGCGTACCGCTCCGCCCGTGCGGGGATCCGGGCGGCGCCGGGAGGCGGCTCCGCGCCCCTCGCCCCGCGCCGGAGGTGCCGGGACCGCGCCCGCCCCCGCCGCTCGGAGAGCCGCGCTCAGGTAGGTGTGCGCCGCGCTCCGGCCCGGGCGGCCCCCGCCCTCCGCGACTCCCGCGCCCCGGCCCCTCCGAAGAGGAGAGCGGTGGCGTCGAGGAGTCCGGCCCCGCTCCGGCCCTCCGCGTCGGACACGGGGGCCGTTCCGCCGCCGGCGCCCTCCGTGCGGCGCCGCGCTCCCGGCCGGCGGGGGCGGCGCGCGGCGATGCGGGTCCGGGCCAGGCTCAGCGCGGGCGGGGAAGGGGAGCGGCCCCGGACCGCGTTCCATCGTTCAGACAAAGGCGGGCGGCGAGGCTCTGCAGCTCTGCGCGGCCGGCACCGCGCGTCGCAGCCTGGGCGGGAGGGCAGCGTGGATGCAGCCCTCCCTCTTTTCGTTTCTTTGCTTTTTCTTTTTCCTTTTTTTTTTCCCCCCCCATTCCGCTCTCCCCCCTCCCCGCCGCGTTACACCCGCGCTGTCGCTCCCGCTGGATGGCCGTGGCAGAAAAATACCAGCCCCCACCCAAAATGCACCGCAGCCCGCCCGGGAGATGAGTGCGGGAGGCAGCAGGGGGCGCGTTCCGCCGGGCAGGGCTGCGGCGGGGGAGGGAGGGCCGCGCTGCGGCCCCGGAGTGCCGCCGCCCGGTGCGGGGCGCCGCGATCCCCGCCGTCCCGGGATGTCGGCGCGGGGCTGGGGCTCGGGGTCAGCCGCGTCGCGGGACGGGAGGGGATCGAGCGCACGGAGGGCTTCGGAGGATGCCCGGTTGGCGCGGGATCCGGCGGTGTCGGCGGCAATGCTCAGTGGCGCGGCTTTCTGAGCGAGGCGGCGGCCGTAGGAAGTTCTGCGCTCTGGGATGGTCCTGAGCGCCGCGGCTCCGCTGGGGAAGGCAGACGTTGTTGCCATCGCGATGTTCTTTGTTGGTGCTGGTCGGTAGATGTGCAGGATTCCTTCTAGAAGAATTGGTGTTCTTTCCAGATTGTTTTTACTAGCTGTGTTTTCATGCGTTTTTACTGCTGTTTTCTAGTCCAGGAGGTGAAAGGTGCACGTGAGGTAGTGGAGATGTGATCCCTACCTGTCGGTGTGGCAGAGCTGATGCGGACCTCCCACAGGACCTCCTGGGAGCCTGTACAGCTGTGGGGCTGTGCAGCTGTGCGGGCTGTTGTCTTTCCGTGTGACAGAGGTGGACCATCCTGTTCAAAAATGGCATTCATTGGTTTTGGAGCAGAACCGGAGCTTGGCTCCTCTGACAGCTGCTGAGCAGTCTGGTGTCAGCAGGCTGACTGCTGTACGTGTTGAAATCTTACAGCACTGAAAAGGCACAACAGCAGATGAGAGCTGTGCTGGAGTTGCTGGCTGTTGCTGAAGATGTCTGCAGTACATTTCTACCTAAACCTCAGTCAGAACAGAGCTGTCCTTTCTGAAATGCAACCAACACTTTGTTCTCCGAAGTAATACCATCCTGAATGTTTTTGTTGTCTTGATGGTAAACTGCCCTTCATTAAAATAATGCTGTTCCTTCTCAAGGAACTTCTTTCTTTTTTTGAAGAAGAAAAAGACTTTTTGTTAATGAAGTGTTTGGAGGCAACTCAGTGGGATTGCTGCAAATGGAGACATCTTTAGTATTGCCTCATTAGGAAACAAACCATTATCTTTAACTCGAAGCCTTGGCTCAGTATACAGGTTGGATGAAGCTGTACCTCTGTTAGGTTACTGTCCCTTATGTGGCAGTGCTGTGTGGAACTGCTGGGGTGAGAAAGTCGCTGTGTGTGGAAGTTGCTCCGTGAGGTCACGCAGGATGGGCAGTGAGCAGAGCGGCCCGCGGGCCGAGGTGTGTGCAGCAGAGCAAGGTGGCTGTGCTGGGAGCTGCGTGCCCTGCGGGTGAGATGTGTGCTGCACAGACAACAGCTGGAGAGGCTGCGTGTCTCAGGATGGGGCGGATAGCTGATTCTTCCCTGTGTGTAGGATAGAAGCTGGCAGTTGTTGGAAGATGCCCAGTAGCGTTGTTGGAATTGGACGTGTCACCGTGGTATATTACAGCAGCATTTTAATTAAGCATGGAAATCATTTGGCAGTGCTGTAAAGTGTTGTTGGGTGCTTAACAATCTGAGCTCCGCAGTTTCTGCACTCAGTGTTAAAATTGAAGGAGATGCCACATGCATTCCTAGGGCAGTGCTGGGGCTCCTTTTGTGCGTAAGGTAAGCTGTGTTTCTGTTACACTGCAGAAGGAATGATAGGTGATTATTTACAGCCCAGCTTTCCTCCTCCATAAAAAAACAGTAAATATTGAAAGTAAATATTGAAGTTTAAAGTGGTATTCTTGCAACACAGAACAATATCGGGATCATGTTGGTAGTCAAAAGTCATGCAGTGCAAATGTCTTCTTCATAACTTGCAATTATGATTGCAGCTGCTCTGATAGATGCAACCACAGATGGTAAGATGGGATTCTGTGGTAAGATGGGGGAAAAGGCATTTTGTTCTGGGGCGGCTGCAGGTACCACTGAGAGCTAGAACTTCATTGACTGTTTTTCAGAATTGGGAAGTTGTTTTTGTTCTAGTATTTGGAGTTGTTTTGAGATGCAGAACTTGCACGTTGAGAGTGGACAGAGCAGTGCCAGGTGTGGTGAGGACAGCTTTAGTGTGAAGGCAGTGGGAGCAGGGCGAGGGCCATGGGGCCGTCGCCTGCAGGGCTGTGCAGCGCTGTGTCTGCGGGTGCAGCCCAGTTTGCATTTCAGTGCTGCATTTCAGTGCTGCGTTTACCGTTGTTTTTTCATTTCGCTCTTTGAAATGCCGGTGTGCTGCTTTTCTAAAAGTGTAACGGCTGCAGCTAAATGAACGTTATGCCATTTTGGATGGCTAAGATAGACTCTTCTTCATTTCTTCATACCAGATAGAATTTTGTTAGCATAATTTCACATTACAATCCTTGACATGGAGGCAGTCCTGCTCACATAAATATGTTGGTGCACTTCTTAACGGTATAAGGGAGCGTGAGCTATGGAGGTGAGAATAGACAGCATTGGTCTGATAAGGCAATATAAACATCTGTATGCATTAGAAGCAAAAAAAAAAAAAAAAAAAAGAATCCTAATTATGTTAATGTAATTTAAATATATATGTGTGTGTATATGTATATACAGGAGGTTTTTTGTGCGTATGTGGAAGGTTTGTTTTCATTGACATGATGTGTTTTGGGGCAAAAATGCCCTTGCTTTGGTAGTCAGGTTGGCCTGCTCATTTGAGGCTTTTTCGGGATCTGGTACGAGAACCAGGACTCGTGTTCTAGATGTGAATAGTTTCCGGGAGGGCATGGCTCTTACTTACCTACCTGAGGGCTGTGTGCCTGCAAAGAGAAAATACATATTCTTCAGAACTGATGTTGAAAGACAAAATGGGTCTCAAAATGAGCATCTCATTCTTACTGCAAAATAACACAGGAGTGCTTTTGAATGTGTTACGACAGTTGATGGCTTTAAATAAGAGTGGAATGAGTTCCATGCTTTCTGTAGTGAATCACTTTGTGCTTACTGCTCTTTATATCCTTGGGGTTGGGTTTTCTTGTTCGTTTGTTTTAAAGATGGTTGACCAAAAACTGGTTCTTGTGGTTGGGTCCTACAGCGCTGTGATTGTCTCTGTGAATAATCACACCTGCAGGCTCTTGGTTGACCAGATCAGGTGGCAAAATGTTTGATTTAAAATGCATTTTTCAAGAAGCATGTTAATTTGCAAGAAACAGAATTTGAGTAACTGCAAACAGCCTGTCCACCAAAGTGACTTTCATTACCTCCCCTGTCCTGTCTGTGTAGGTTGGCATGCTCTCTGGCCTGGCGTCAGCGGCTGCTGATCCTTCCCTGCCTCCAGCTCCTTTTCCCTCCTTCACACCTCAGCCATTCTTTCCTTCACCCCTTTTTTCTCTCCTGTGTATTGATTGCTGACGTGCCTCTGGATCTCATAGTTCTCTGCTTGTGGTGCATCTGGGCCAAAGGAATTGTTAGTGATGCAGATTCATAGCAGCAACAGTATGGGGGCAAAAATCTCTTGAAATCAAAGTAGGCAAAATATTTGTCTTAAAATGCTTTTTCTTTTTTCTCCCTAAAAAAGTTCATTGTGTTTCTGACCTTCTGTTTTGTTTTGTTTCCTCATTGCTGCTGCTATGAATATCGAAGGTTCCTGAGTCAGACGGAAGACAGCAGTAGCAGAGGTGGATTAACGCTGGAATGTAGTCAGGGACTGGAGCACTTGGGAGCTATGCTTAGACAGAAAGGGAACGAGGTAAGAAACGTGGAGTGGTAAGATTGATTTTAAGCTGTTGTTCACAGACTTTACCCCATTGTGTAATGCCAGCATTTGTGCATAGTGTGTGAAGTGGCAAGGCAAAGGAAGAACAATTAGCATCAGCATACTTCACAGTCTATTTTTACATGTTAAATGCTTTCATGCTAGACAGTTGGTGAGATCCTTTCAGTATCTAATCTATCCGCTGTCTGAGAAAACATGTTTTGGCAGGGTTTTAGATGAGCTTGGGAAAGTGTTTGTATGCTTTCTTGTGTTTTGTTGTTCTGCCACTTCCACCAGCATGCAAGCAATGCATTCTGCAGTAGGGCACTGTAAGGGATGCAGTTTCAGCAGTGGTTTAAATATAACTGTGTGCTGCCTCTGCAAGGGGTGGTGTAAGCCATGCTTCCTACCGCTTCACTTGTGTAAGCAGCAGCACTGTGGAGGAGGAAGCGCTCTGGCTGAAGACTGCTGCCACTGAATCAGTTCTGTGCTGTGGCTGCTGCACGAGCCCTGTGCTGACACGGCGGTGGTGTCAGCAAAGCATGATAGAGAAGACTAGCATTTGTAATTTCTGATTGTAGTTCTACAATCGGTGTAATCTAGTCATAAATGATCTGTATGTTGATTGCATGCTTTATTTTTGAACATTTTACTTTTTTTTTTTTTTTGAGCTTTAGATTGAAAATCTAAATGAAACATGCTTCTGTTCCAAAATTTTCGATACGGGATTGTTTGTGCTTAGCTACAGTCAAAGATGACGTTTTGAACTGGTAAAGCATATTCATGTGGCCTTTTTTTCCTGCACGCTGAAGTGTGGATATCATGGTGTAGGCAAATAATATCCTTCATGCTTCATTGACCTCCAGTCTCAATTTCAAATTGCTGTAAGGTAGGCAGGCTTTAGTGCCTTTCAAACAAATCTGTAATAGCCCTAAACTAACAAGGCTGTTGTACTGAGCATGTGTATTACATATTGATCCCATTACACATATATGGATGCATATAAATGTTTCTATGTGAACAGCAACGAAAGATATTAAAGATGGCAGTAGGTGGGGAAGCCTACTTCTTGAGCTGCTGGTGCCTCTAATTAAAAATTACCTATACACTGAAGTATAGCATGCCCTAGAGAATGGATGCAATTTAAAGTGCTTTTGAGAATGCAGTAGAGATTATCAGAATTGCTTTTCTTGTCTGTGTTTTCAAAATCTTTTTCTTCAGAAAGTATTCTGAGTTGGCTAACGCTTATTTTTAAAAACCATCAACCTGTGTTATCAAAATAAGAAAACCAAGCAGAAGTTCTCAGTAGAGTGCAAGGTATCAGGTTGTTCATGAAGAAAAAAGGGGTCATGGTTCTTGGAGCAGCCAGAATTTGTCTTGTATTTTACACTGCAGCAGAGAAATTGCACAATGTACAAACTTATACTGCTGTGCAGAAATTGCTAAGGAAATAGTTAATTCCCTTTTAGTTATGCAGTTAGAGTACACACCCACCAGATGGAGCTTCTGGCACCAGTGGAAAATTCCAGAAATCAAGCAAGAATGAGAAGTGTGTGAATGACTTAAGAGGATCTCTGTCTGCAAGACTGCAGGAGATATTTTTTTAACCTTTAAAAAAAAAAGAAGATGAACGGAGAGAGCTCAGCCTCCCTGAGTGTCCCACTGCAGCAGTCCTCCACAGAAGTTTTTCCTTTGTGATGGGAGGTTGGAGTTGTCTGTCTTCAGGTTGGTGACTGATGCTTACAATAAACTGAAAAAGAAAAGAGAGAAAACAGCTCTGTAAACTCTTGCTGAAGATGGCATGTAATCACAGAAACAGAACGTTCATGTTATTAGCCAGAGAATTTCTTCCAAAGCAATTTAAGTGTGGTTGGGTTTTTAGTACTTCATTTTAGATGGACTTCTTTTCTGTCCTGAAGGAACATTTGTATAGGGTTAATGTTCTTCCATTTTAAAACCTGATTTCCAGAGATGTGGTGCAAACTGTCCTTTTTCTTTGACGCTGAATTTCTGAAATGGTTTTAAAATCTTTTGGAAGTCTTGACCAAGGAATCTTGAAATAAAGTTTGACTGTGAGGGGGTGTCAGGGTTTTTGTGTCCTGAAGTCGTACAGTGCGTTGGCTAGGTACTGAAACACGCTTACAAACTTCGGTTTCAGTTATCACTGTTTTAAAACACCACGTTAGATTTTTACAGAGGATTTATTTGATTTGGGCTTTCTGTAAACTTTCCATCTTTCTAATGTGCCCAGTCCTGTTTTGGATACAGGCATGAATTAGAGGAGTTGGAGGCACGTGCTTGCTGACACACTGGGTAGTCCAGCACAGCATGTGCACGCTGTGTTGTCTAGTTGAAGTTGAGAGGTGTTGAGACAGATATTCTCTGGAAACCATCGTATTTCCAGAGCACCTACAGTGCTATAGGTGGTTGAACTGGCAGGAATGTGGAGGTGCTCTGTGTTTTAATTGTAGCTTTGAGAGCAAATCCTGTGCTGTTACAGAGCAGCCTCCATCCTAGATTATAGCAGACTTGAAAATGAGCCCTTAGTTGTCTGCCATTTCAGATGTGCTGTTAAACTGTAAATCTCATTACCTTCACTGGAGATGCAGGTGCACAGCTCCTCTGAAAAGTAGGCCAGAAATGCTAAGATAAGGAGAAGAGTCCCACGGGGAAAAAAAGAAGTGAAATGCTGATTGTGAGCCAGTGGCAGCCGTGCCATTGGGTGCAGGAGGAGGGCTATTCAGCTGCAGCCTTTACCTTCTCATGGAAGTTTTTGGTAGCTTTCAGTTCTCCCAACTTCTCCCCTCTCCCTGGTATATCTGCGCCTGGTATTTTTGGTTTGCTTACCATTCCCTGTCCTGCGTCCTGACTGCCACTCGTCCCTGCTCAGCTCCCTTGGAATTGTCAGGCCCTGTAGGTGTGAGCTGAAGAGATGTCAGGTCTTCCCAGAGAAGCTTAACATTTAGGCTGTTGCACATCCTCCTGCCAGCCCCCATGGAACTAAAACTTTTGTCTGAATCCTTCCCAGGGGAAGTTGTCTCACTGGGGTCGGAGCGGCAGCCACATCACCTGCTTGGTTTCCCACAGACTTGTAATTTAAGGTGGGACTGTATTGGCATGGGACCCCCCTAGCAGTAATGAGCTGTGCGAGTGCTGGTGTCAGCGCCTTGTATTGCGGCTGTGCTGCTGGGACTGGGCGCTCAGGTTCTCTGTAAGCAGAGGCCCTAGGCGCTAAAGTCAGAAGGTGTGGTGTGAGAAGGTGCGTTCATCACAGCGTCCTGCTGGATTTCCGACTTGGGTAACTTCACTGAACTCTGAGTGCCGAACTGTTCTGCAGGTAACATCACCTAGAAAATGGGTTTAAAGCCCAGGCCCACTCACACGTCTGCGGCACTCCTCACCTTGCTGAGTGCGCCCCGCGGTAGCTCCGTGTCGGTACAGGTACCGTATGCGTGGTTTATAATTAGTTCTTCACAATTAAATGTACGTTATAAATGTCAGATTGCCCTTATGACGTTTCTTACCTCTTATCTTTAACGCTTTGTTTTGTACAGCAGGATATGACCCTTCTTCTATGTCCGGGCTTCGGCCTCACACAGTAGGTGTAATATAATCGCTGAGGTGGGCGCTCTGGAAGAATTATTTTTGAAGGCTTTTGCATGAAACTTGTCCAATGAGTCTGAGACGCCCAAGCACCATTAATTTTGGAGGTAAATGCCTCGTAATATATACTGAGTAGATTGGGTAGAGTTAAGATTATTGTTTGGAGAAGTATGGGCAAAAAATAGTTGAAAAGACAGTTCTGTTTGCTTCTGACATGTGGGCATCATGAACTTAAAGGAACACCAACTTGGCCTCCAGAGAAATTGTGGGCTTTGAGCTCAAGTGCTCTGGCAGCTCCACTTCAGTGGTTTCCTGGTTGAAAGATTTCCCCCATCTTTCGGTTTGTCTTAATGAACCAACGGGGGCAAAAGTGAAAGACAGCTCTGGCTGTGGGAAATCTGCCAGAAGAGCTGAAACAAAGTGGGGGGAAACCTGCGAGTTGTGACATGGGAGTTAGAGCCGTGCCGAGCTCAAGCTGGCTGTCCCTTTAAGTTACTCTCTGAAACATGATATTTTTTATTTGAAACACATTTTAAATGTTTACTTCTAGAAGTTTAACTGAAACTTTTTTTGAGGTATTTTCTCTCATTTGTCTATAAATGGGCTGATCAGAGTGGGATATAATCGGAGGGGAGGGAGGAATATCATTGTTAAAACAATGAAAATATAAAGCCTAAAGCAGGGGAAAAGAAAAAAAAACCCAACACAAACAAATGAAAGAAAATGCAACAATTATGTCCCCAAAGGGCTTTTTTTTAATGGCACACTGTAAATGTCAAACCTTGCTTGGAGAGGGGTGGAGGGAAATTATTTGCATGAAGCTATGTCTGAATTAAAAATTTATTCATGTTGTTATGATTGGAATAAAATCAAGTTACTGATAAAATTGAAGATAAGGTAGATAAGAAAAGTTCAGCTTGCTATAGTAAACAACAGTGATGTACTGGCACACAGCTGATAGAGAAGTTAAAGCTGTTTCAAAGACGTCAAGATTGCACTGATGTCAATCCTGGGCTCTCAGTGCTTTCTAATGTTAATGACAACGTTATTATTAATAATTATTAATACCAAATACTTAATACTTAAAAACAGGCTGTTTAGTAGAGGGGTATTCTGTACTTCTTAATGAACTAGCATTTAGTATAATCTGAATTTTTGTGCACTAACTTGTTACCAAATTGCATGTGTTTTTTATTATGCTGTGTTTCACCCAGCTACAGCCCTTCCCTTTTAGTAGTATGGATATTAAGAAAATAGTTTGAATTATTACAATGAAAATGGTGGGATTTTGATATTTCTAACAAAGTCTATGGTCTAGAATAGTGTTTGGGGGGTGGGGGGATGGTAACGGGGGGGGGGGGAGGATATATTACCCAGGGAAAAGGAGCAGGATTTTAGAATAAGGGTTTGAAACATTGCTTTTTCTGTAGGAAAAAGATGGAGTATTGCATGCTGGGAACAAGTGCTTTCCATAAGGTAGCTAAATTTTAAAAGTACATTTGTTTCATTTTCTTTTAGGCTTTGTTTAAGTATTCTAATCTAGTAACTTTGTCCTTTCTGCAGTTTTCATTTTGATTAGATACCTCTGCAAAACTCTCTTCTAAACAAATTCAGAAACCAAAACAAACAAACCTGGGCCACAACTGCAGTTTGGAATACTTCTGAAATGTTGCTCAATGTGCATGGAAGAGTCTTTAAAGAATAGTAGTAATAGTAAAAATTCTTTCTGTGGTCTGTTTTGTTTTCCATAATGTCAAAATCGCAGATGTTAACATCAATAAATTTAACGATGTGAATGTGTTGGATGACTATGGAGAAATGACCAAAATAAAATGATTTGTTAAAAGGCAGTCTTAACTGACACCTCTTAAGAAAACAAAACAAAAGCTCATCAGGCATGTTTTTGGTAGAAACTTCAAGTAAATAGGTACATTCTTTTTTCCTCTGGTCTTGTGAATAGCAAGACTTGACACACGCAGAGAAAGTTTGAGTAGATGAGTCAGGACTTATTTCACTAACTGCAGTTAAATGTTTTGGCCAGGTTTCCCAAGGAAACAAAGCTTGTGTAGTTCTTCAGCTTGTGGCTTGTCTCCTGCTGGCCTCTCGCTCCTCCCAGCCAAGAACGTTGGCCACTTTAAACCAAATTTTATATAGATGGAGATCTGAAAATACAAATAAAGATCTTTAAGCTTCATTAACAGTAGATCTCCAGTAGAAGAAGAGATTAAGGCTTGAACATTACCGGGTTTCTTTCACAACTCTCTTCTGTCAGCCTGTTCTCTCAATTGGATGTTGTAATGCCAAGTGGCTGCTAAAAACTCTCTGTGGGAGGAGTTGTAAGAGGGAGGGGAAAGAAAACATCCTGCTTCAGCTCAGGGTTTTAGGGGGCTTACTTTTCTGTGTTGGATGTGCACCAACTGCTGAGGTGCCAGTTAGGTATTGTGCCCGGAGCTGAATGTAGCAGCTTGCCTAGCACTATCTAATACAGAGCTAGCAGAGATTTACAAAGGAAAGAGAAGAAGCAGTAAATTATCCTGGCTTTGAAATACTCAGCTCCAAATGAGAGTTGTTGTGCCTGACCGAGTGCATGTTATAGTACATTATTCCATGGAATACAATATTATTACAGGTACAGCAGCAGCTCATGATGCCCCGTAAAGCTTTTCTTTCCCAGAAAGAAAAGCAGGCTCGTGCCAGGGAAAGAGATATGTTAAAAAAGAGAAGGAGGCGACAAGACTATCTCAAAAGAAGCGTGGACCCACAGAAAAATGCAGAAACAATAAAATGGCACAGGGATGATGAGAAGAGGAGAGAAAATGAGCAAGTTAAGGACAAAGATATCAAGAAGCGATGGAGACAGGATGAGAGAGAACGACGAAAGAATGTGGACGCTATGAATTGGCGCAGGGAAGATGAGAAGAGGGAAAATGAGCGAGGTAAGGACCAAGAAGGCCCAGAACCAGCAAAGAAAGGATGAGGAGGAAAGGGGAAAAGAGCAACAAAAGGATGGACCTTTTGAAGCAGCAGAGGGATACTAATGGGGAGAGGGAAAAGGAGAAGTAAGAGCAGTTCTGCTTTTCTAAGTATGTGCAGACATTAAAGAAAATGTTACTGTCGTTCAGTTTCAAAATTATCTGTTTCATGAATTACAGGTCTTGCAGAGATGATTACTAAGACAGGATTGATATATACAGATGTATATAAACAGAAACTCAAAATGGGATAGAGTTTAGATATTGCTTTTGAAATTGTCTGTTTTGCATGCGTGCTCTCAATACTGTCCTGAACAGTGCAGTTGGTAAGACTGTATTTTAGATCACCATAAAGTTCAGGTTTTCTCAGTCTTCATAGTGTGAATAAACGACAGCATTAGGAGATGAAGGGTCAACCAAACATAGTCATTGAAGGTAAAACTGGTGTTTTATTACATTTATAATAATGTGCCCAAGAGACAGTTGTCTTTACACACCTGTGAATTATTTTGTGTGCCGTAGATACCAACTTTTGTTTACACATTTTCCACAACTTCTTTTTTTACTTGCCATTTCACAGTGGTGCTTTTTATCAGCGTTGTTAAATGAAATCACCTCCCTCAGTTAAATGCTAGGGGTCAGCAACAGTTGTGTGTGTGCCAGTTGTGCGAGGGTTTCCTCATGGTGTAGTCAGGCATAAGAAAGCCAAGAGTAGTCCACTGGTGCTCTCTTGGTTCTTTTACACTGCAGGAGTATCCTCCAGATTATTTCTTTAGGTCTACAGACTACTTGTGTATGAAAATCACCATTTTACTGACGGGGCTGTGACAATAACAATTTATTACATTTGCTGCTTGGCACAACTGTAGCAAACCTCAGTCATCAGACAAGCCTATTAAACACTTCAAATCATGTTGTCTAAAAACAACAAAAAAAGGCTGAGGCAGATTTGGAATATTTATTGAAGACTGTAGTTGAGAGAAAAAAGCTGTCTTCATCTCACTGATGCATCTTCTCCTGAATCAGAACAGCACTGCTGCCTGGTGAGTGCTCCACGGCCTCGTGCCACGAGGTTGGCCATGTTGTTCTGGGTGAAGTTGGCAGAACTGAAGCATCCTTAACATCTGTTGTTACCTGGTAGCACTAAGGGCAGTGAGCTGCGAGGCCAGAGATACAGAAAGATATGCTGGAGCATGGCACTCCTAGGATCACAAAAATAGAAGCAGCTTTTTGGATCTGCAGACAGGCAGAGGCTTTTCCGTGGTGGTGGTGTTTTTTTTTTTAATTGCCTCTGATAATTTAACTGCTGTGTTCTTGTTTTCTCCCACCTGTGTTCCTTACCCTCTCCTGGGTGCACACCTTCCAGTAAGGACACAGTTGTGACTGTGCTGCACTGTGTGTAAATGCAGTACTTCCCTCATAAAGGGATAACTGTTTGCATTGAAAAAAAACAAGACAAACAACATTACTTGTTGCAACGTAGAACCTTCAGTCAGGCACACAGCATTGTGTTTTACATTAATTTTCCACATAACTGCACAGTGTTATTTTATTCTTTTCTTCTCTTTTGACTTAGTTTTTGTAGGTGGCTCTAGTCCTTTAGTAATGGTATGTTGAAGCATTGAACTGCAGGGCTATAACTTGAAGTGCTTGAAGGTTATACATTGATAATAGTTTATTAAACACAAAAAGTGGTTTAAAAATTTGGCAGTAACAGGTGGTGGATGTGTCAGGTTTCCCATCCTGGATGTTTTTAAGTTGATGGCCACATTTGTTTCCATCTGGAATTTGAAGTATTAGTAAAAGTAGCAAATTGGTGAAGATACAATTTGCTGTTGAAAGCTGCATCAAGTCTATCTGAGTACTAAACTCCAAAAAGAAACAAAACAAAAACCTCGACTTCGGGAGTGGTTGAACCTTCTGTGGCTGTGCTGCAGATAATTTTCATGTAAGGCTTCTCGTGTTTCCTTCTGTTGTGTTGTACCAGTGAGCACAGTCCTGATCTCCTCTATCTTGGTAATGTGCAGTTAAGTTCCTAAGCTAAGCAGCAATTTCCACTAGTAATGGGTCTGTTCTCCCTGTTTGCTTTTGTTTCTCCTGAAGGTTGCTCACATCACTCCTATGAGCATTTCAGGGTGGTTTTTCTTTCCCCTTCTTTTGTTTTCTTTCACCAGCTATGGGTAACAAGCACAGAACATTTAAATAGAGAGAAAAATCCTTTTGCTGTGAAGTCTGATCTTCAGTTTTCAGGTGTGAATATCCGATTGTATCCTGTATTATGATGTGTTGTGATAGGAAGATGTTGACCATTTCTTAGGCTATGAGGCAGGCAGAAGGCAGGATGATAGAGTAGATACAACTGAAATCTTGTTTCTAAGCAGTCCTAAATTTGCTTTTTTTATTACTTGGGCTTATATACAAATATACATCATTATATGTTTGACATGTCCAGGTTTGTTAGACACAGTAATCAAGAGAAAGTACTCCATGGTTTTGGTTGAAGGCTTTGATATTGGCACTTTCCATTCAAGTAAGTTACTTGCTAATAATATTTTGAGAACTGTATCTGACTTTCACATATACCAGTGGTCACTGCCTGGAGACAAACGGTACTCTCACTTTGTCTCTAGGAGAATTATGGTCTCTTCACAAGCAGAATGATTCCTCAAGTGGGGATTTGGGTTATGGAGAAAATGTCACAGCTTGCCAGAAGCTTTAACATTGAGTGCTTTCATGCACTGATTCTACAGTCGATACTAAGATATAGGGTTATCCTGGAATGAAACTACAAGGTTATTTTCTCTGTGGATTTGAAATTCATTGTGAAGTGTTCATTCACATCCTGCACAACAGCTGACAGTGCTATTTCATGTAGTTTTTGAGTGTGCAGGAAGGTAGGAAGAAGCTACTGAAAGCATGGAGAAATAATGTCCTGCAGCGACAGCAATACATATTTAGTTGCATTTAGAGAAGTAAACTAATGGAGCCATGACTAATTTCTTGGCCACATTCTTAGTTTCTCACACGTGCACAGTAAACTACAGCAGCAGGAGCTTATATTAAATGAACGTTCTTGAATGTTAAAAATGTTCTAAGGAAAGTAAACCTGTATTAACTTGATTGGAACTTAAGAGTTCAAAGCCATAATCCCCAGTTGTGTTCTGGGAGGAAGTGGAATTGAATATTAAAGACTATTTTCTTTGAAAATGTTGTGATGAAGAATATACATGCAACCTATGCAGTGTGAGATGTGGTGTCAGTGACACGGTAGCCATACCTTCTTAATGCGATACTGGATTTGGTTTCCTATTGATGCAGTCCTACTATCATAAAATTCAGATCTCTTACAAGTCAAGTCATGAAAAAAGTGACAGTGAGCTTAGCACTGAGCACTGTTTTGTAGTGACAGGCCTAGGAAAACGAGCTACAGAGTTGCTTTTTCCACCTGAACAAAAAAGTAAGTTCTACTTACTACTTCAACCACAGATCAAAAGCAGAGAAAATACCACTTGAAAATTGCAGGTAGGATGCAGCCTTACAATTTGTGTTGACCAGCGGGCTCGGTAGGAGTTTAAATGCTCCACAGCCCTTTCCCCATTACTCTTTGTCATATTTTTTTTGATACTATTTGTGCTAAGTGCAGTGCTGTTACTATTTGTGCACTTAGAAGTGCTAAGTCATGGCCTGAAGGAGTGATGGAGCACCTGGTGGGAAGGCAGGGGAGCTCAGGTGCATGCAATGTACCTGAGTGACTGGAAGGGCCAGGATCCACCTCCTCCAGCCCTCATTTAAGGGTTGGCAGTGGAGGCAAGAGTATCTTGCTGGAGATCCCTGCCCAGCTGAGGCCTTCCAAGGGTAAGCAGACTTCTTCCTTTGTTTCTGCATCCACGTCTGCTGCAATTCAGCTTATCCTCACTTGCTGCAGCCTGGGACTTTGCTATCCCACTGTCAGTGCTGTGTTTTCCATCATGTTATAGTGTCACAGTAATAAATTGTGTCACTGTAATAATAAATATAGTGTCGCTGTATGAAACTGGCATTGCTGATTCAGCACTGTTGTTAAGCATTTTCAGTTACCTCTTACATCTTTTGATGTAAAATGATGTAAAATTTCTAAGTTATATTAGATGTATTTACAATAGAAGCAAAACTGCAATCTTAAAATTTTTCTTAGGGAAGTTTTAGTTCTGCTCGTGGAAGTAACTAACATATTGTTGCTCTGAAGTGTGTAGAAGTTACTCTTTCTGGTCTTAAAGTGTGGTTGTTTAATACAACCATTTCTCAATACAGATGCTTGCAGTGTAAATATCCATTGTTATTCTCAAAAGCTTTTTCACCACTTACGCATTGGTACTTTGTCGTAAATGGTATTATTTTTATTTTACCAGGAAATAGCTTTTGTCCAGAGGTGCCTAGGCATTAAAACTGAATAACCACAGCACAGGCACAAGGATGGGCAGATAAGTAGGGCAGAGCTTGGCACGTTCTGTTATTGCTTACCAAAGCCTAATACACAGTACAGAGCTATAACACTTTATAACACTTAAGGGTTTTTCCTAATTCTCTTCAGTGTGTGCCTTTAGAAATGGATCTTGGGAGAGAAGAAAGTGCAAGGGGATAATATGAATATTCTCAGAACATCTGATAACGGAGCCATGAACTCAGATGCTGTTTATAACGAAGTAACTGGTTTGCCTTTGTCAGCTTTCAAAACTAACATAAGTTAGAGATTCAGATGCAAACCTTGTTTCCTTGTCCTTCGTGAGGATGAAAAAAATGTCCTTGGCTGGGAGTGAGTACATGGATCAGTCTAATTACCCAGATGATGACATTCACTCTTGCATCATGAAGGAGAATGTATTAGGCCTGGGTATTTTTTGTAACTGCAGATAAGATGCTTGATTATAAAGGTGTACAGGTAGGAATGAACACAGATAACAAAAACAGCAGTTCATGGCTTTCATTCAGTGTCTTTAGAGGCAGTAACTGGTAAGAGAGTGTAATTTTCTGTTGTGTTCTGTTTAATCCTCGCCATCTCTGAGAAGGCAGAGGATACCTGTGGAAGTGCTCTTCATAGCTGGGTTTGGGTTCTTATCTCCAATGTGGCAAATGAGTTACCAGGCTGATAACGACTCTACATGTGAAGTATTTCACCAGAATGCTAATTATGTGTGAAGTACTTCACCAGAATGCTAATTCTTTGTAGAGTGGTTTGGGTTTATCTCAAATGAAAGGTTCCAGATAACATACAGAAAGCAACTACTTTTCACATTAACTAAATCATAGGTTTTTTTATAATTCCAATCCTTTTAATTAAGAGTAGAGAGGAATGCTAGCTGAAACACCTTTACTGTCACAAACATTATGAACTTGCATTTAGAATTTAGGTCAGGTAAATACACTGTGCTTATACTCACAACAAATCTTGGAGGAAATCAATATCTAAGTTGAAGTAATTTTTTCCTGGCCTATATGATTTCTTTGAATTACTGTCATTAGTGACTTTGTGTGATGTCTCTGAGCAGTGTCTCTGCTGCAGGTAATTTAACTGAGAAATTTGGAGACCTGAGATTTATAGACTAAGTCAACACTTTTCTTTGGTTTCCTAGCGTTTGTGTGCACGGTGTTCCATGCAGCTGTGTTTCCTTCTGACCGTGGGTGCTGCAGACTAGCTCACTCACACCACAGCATTAGAGTTGGTTTGGTATTTCTGAAAATTTTCCTGTAGACCCTTAATAAATTCAGTATTGTTTCTTCTTCGTATCATGGCTACAAATTAGAAATCAGTCATAAACATCATGATCAGCTTGCTACTCTTAGTCAAGAGCTGTTTCTGAATTAGATGAATGGGAAGGGATGAGAGCTTAGTGATACTCAGTCCTTGTTGATGGTGAAGCTGGTGGGTTCGTGTTGGCCCTGTCACTTTTGTCCGTTTCTGGCACTGAGCAGTGGTGGTGACAGTCATGGAATAGTAAGTCATTAGTGACTGTTACAGCATCACCTCGTCGAAGTTGGTAGGAGAATGAGCACGAAAAGCCCGGTGTGTACACAGAACTGTGCAGGACAGGGAGTGTAGCAGGGCTGTGTTTGATCGGAGCGCTCGGTTACTGTAGTCACAACCCCCATCTTTTTACTTGAATAAATTCTGTAGTAAGTTCCTTGTATCTTAGAGACTGCCCTTCATCTCATGATGAGAGATTTTTGTTTTTCTAACTGAACTGTTCCATGGTTTTAAGCTTCTGCTCATTCTGAATTGTAGACTTCTTCCATCCAAGAAGCCAATTTTTTGTTGTTGTAGTTATTCTCTGGCCCTGTAGTGATTAATTAGTTGATAAGAATAATTAAAAAAAAAATATGTTCTAACAAAGCAAGAATTAGCTTCCAGGAATATTAATGATAGAAATGCAGCTTTTATCTTCTAGGATGATATTTTTTATGCAACAGACATTAGAGCACCAGAGCCTAGTGAACAAGATCACTCTCTGCTTTGCTTTGAGGAAGAGCCTGCCTGTTCATTGCATGCTCCCCTGCCTCTCCCAGAAGAAGTGTATATTGCCAAAAGACTCCTGTGTTTCTGTGGTTTGCACCTTCCTGAAGTGCAGATGAGTTGATGATGGTTCTGTAGCTCAGGAAGTGCTTAGTGTAATGGTAGCAGCATGCAGACTGAGAATTGCTGTGTATGTGAAATAAGGCCACTTATTGGCACGTGGAAGAAACCTGAGTGCAGAGAATCCACATATCTTAAAGATTGAGACTTTCTTTTAGTTATGGGGAAGATGAGAGAGAAAATTACTAATAATTAAATGCAGCTCTTCATCAGACAAAGCACATGTGACTTAAACCTCTTCTCTGACTTTGTTTTTCAATAGAAACTATGTTCCAACTTCCTGTCAACAACCTTGGCAGTTTAAGAAAGGCCCGGAAAACTGTGAAAAAAATACTTAGTGACATTGGTTTGGAATACTGTAAAGAACATATAGAAGTAAGTATGATACCTCTCAAGTGCTTCAGAGCTGAAATGCTCAAACATTAGTGGAAAAGTGAGGTCACAGTTGTTTGGTTTTTTTCCCTGCTTTGTCAAACGTTGAATTCTTCCTGTAAGCTTTGAAGGATGTTTCTGGAATCTTTTGTACCCTGATCCCACACCTCACTCCTGTTCTCAGCAGCTTCTGAAAGTGACAGTGGGATTCTGCTTGAGCTTTGCTGTTCAGGCATTGCTGCCTGTTTTTTATTGCGCTGTTTTTTTTAAGTCCTATACAAAGTGTGATTTAATTAATAATTTGAGCTAAAATGTGCTACAAACACTTCTTAGGAAGTCTGCTGGAGATGAGGTAGGCCTCAGGCTATTTATGACTGACTTGACGTATGTTGAAGGTAGGTTGTTCTTTGTGTTTGGCTCCAAGGGATAACATTTGCTAACTGGGCACTTAGGAATAAATCAAGACGGTGTGGTACAGGGTGTTTCTGTGGGACAGAAGATCCTGAGATTTTCACGGAATGTTTGTTGGTGCTGAAATATATGTCATCAGTTGAACAAACTACTTACGTACTTGTGTTAGTTCTAGAAGGAAAAGGTGTTTGTGCTACTCTAAAAAATGCACTTTTTCTCCTGAACACAGCATTTGGTAGGTCAGCTCATACCTCTGGACTGTTCAGAGTACCCACAAGACTATGACTTTGCTTTTGTATTTCATTACTATCTTTTTAAGGAGGATTTAAGTGAGATACTTGAAGAGAAAGAGGAATGCCTGTTCTCCCCATTTAGGAAATCTGTGGGCACACTCGGTTTTTAAGGGTAAAGTTGTGACTAGGGACAGTGTTGCTTTGAAGTATTAATTTCAGTCTCTGTGTGCTGCTGATGTCAAAGACAAAGTACGAAGCACTTTGTTTTAATAGGAATTGGGCTACTTAGACACCATGCATATTGTCAAACTTGGATCTAAATTCCTCTGTGAAATAAATTTAAAAACAAACAACAAAGCCAACAACATTTAAAAAAAAACAACCAGCACCACCAAGTTTGTGGTACAGAATTTGATTTTTAATGTATCAGTATTCAGCTGTTGGTATCAGGGACTGCTTTTGAAGATGGGGCAGGTATTTAATGACAGTCTTGCGTTAATTAGCAGAATGTATGTTGAAAATAGTCCTTGTATTGAGATTGTTCACAAATTTTTACCTCCAAATAATGCATTTAAATATGCAGATTTCTTTAATTAATGCTCTTCGCTATTCACCAGCAGCGTGTGAGAGGACTGCATGAATGCTTACAAGAGTTGCTTAAGGGAACAGTTGGTCTGGGTTTTGATTGTCTGTGCTCTCTTCCCATCTTTCCCTTCTCCAGGATTTTAAACAGTTTGAACCTAATGACTTTTATTTGAAAAACACTACATGGGAAGATGTAGGATTGTGGGACCCATCGCTTACGAAAAATCAGGTTGGTAACAGTTTATATTGATACATCAGATTCTGAAGATGGTTCGTATCAAGGGGCATTTCACAAATGTGCCAAGAGCTTTTCCTGTGATTTTACCCACTGATCAATTGTCTTTGCTTTAACAGACAGAAAAAGGTTTTATTATTTTAGAAGCAATAATCTCAGTTTTATTTTACGAAGTGCTGATAGCAAAATATTGGAGAAATGACTTGTCAGAATATCTTTATCCCTTTGTCAGCTACATAACAGGCCATCTGTTTTCAAGCTTATCACAGTTTCATCTATCTTCCAGTCAAAGGATCACCAATTCTGTAGTTTGTAGTAATTTTGTTAGCCTTTTTGCTAGCAAGATTTTAGAAAAAGTTTAAATGAACAGATTTAACTACCACTCTCTTTAGAGCTGTAGCTGTGTGTCATGTGAGGATTTTCCTAACCTGACTCAGGTTTTGGTTTATTGGGATATGTAGTTCTGCACAGAGGATTTTTAGATGTTGAGTCGGTGATTAAAGGAGATTTGAACCAAGCTGAAACTGGAAGGAGGGAATGTTTCTATTACAGTGATTTGACTTTACTGATTTATTGTGTTAAGACAATGCATTAAGGTATGGATTGCAATAGCCTCTACCATCATAGACTAGTACCAGCACTTACAGAACAGTGAGAAGGTGAGAAATCTCTGTACAAAATAAGCCCACTTGCAGCATCTGAAAGACCTGAGAAGCCACGTTACGGTGGATTCCTAGCGTGGTCTTCATCTAAAATATCCCTTTATTGTGTTCCATAAAATATACTGATGTGTGTTTTTTCCTAGTTAATCCCAGAATGAAAAACAAAACAAAACAAACCCTCACTATAAAAGGAAACAACCTTTGTTTAGTTTGTGTTGCATCTTGCCTCCAGCCTGTGAGATGGCCAGAGTTTCAGAAGGTGGACAGAAGCATATATGCTTGCTTGTACAAAAGGAGAGTACAATTCTCCAGATATTTTAAATGCTCTTTGTGTAACTTGGTGAACGAGACTTGTTTTGACACACGCTATGAATGATTGTAACTGTGTGAAATTCATGTCTTATCTCATCTGAAATGACAGGTTGCTTGTGGCTGTCTCTGAGGCCAGCATAATTTTAGTTCTTTTAAAACAGTGGATAAGAACTGCCATCAGCAGGGAAAGTAGGCAAGTGTGGAGCTTTCAAGTACCCCCCCCTTTTTTTTTTTTTAATTCCCCTGATACATTATTATTTTAAAAACCAGGATTGTGCTTTGATCTGAAAGAAAATGTGGTTGCTTTAAGGGATTGTCTGGCCTTAGTATGTAATCCTTGAAGAGTATTCTTTATCTTAAACTTCGTAACTGATTAAGACTTTTGAATAGAATGGATGTGAAGTGTTAGCTGTCTCGATAAATGTTTGGCAGAACCAAAGGGAAATAACTCCTGTCTTCTGGATGCAGTCTCGTTCTACACCAACAGCCATGCTTTCCTTTTCCAAACTAATGAAATAATGGTGAACGTTTGCATGCTCAGCTGCAGGGAACGCAGCTTCTGTTGACTGGTGGAAGAGATATTTATGCTTTATCCTTGAATGCTGAGGGCATGGCCAAACTCTTGAGGGACCTTTTAAATTGGCTGTCACTGCCTTGTGTGTGTTCAGATGATAAACATAGGACTTCATCTGTAGGCCAAGAATTGCAGAGAATAAATTGATCTAAAGATTGGAGATTGTTGCAGTGGGTCTCAGACTGAGTTGTTCACAGAAGTTCAGAGAGAGTCTTTTTCCAAAAACCGCTTTTCCATATTCAGTTTCTGCTTTGTTCTTTGTTTCAAGGACTATCGGACAAAGCCCTTTTGCTGCAGTGCGTGTCCATTTTCCTCGAAGTTCTTTTCAGCGTACAAAAGCCACTTCCGGAATGTCCATAGCGAAGACTTTGAAAATCGGATTCTCCTTAATTGTCCATACTGTACTTTCAATGCAGACAAAAAGACTTTGGAAACGCACATTAAAATATTTCATGCTCCAAATGCCAATACACCGAGTGGAGGCATCAGCACTTTTAAAGATAAAAACAAGCATGATAGCCTTAAACCTAAGCAGGCTGACAGTGTAGAACAAGCTGTTTATTACTGTAAGAAGTGCACTTACCGAGATCCGCTGTATGAAATTGTTAGAAAGCACATTTACAGGGAACATTTTCAGCACGTAGCTGCTCCTTACGTAGCAAAGGGAGGTGAAAAGTCACTCAATGGTGCAGTTCCATTAAGTTCCAGTACCCGGGAAGAGGGTAGTATTCATTGCAAACGATGCCTTTTTATGCCGAAATCGTATGAAGCTTTAGTACAGCACGTTATTGAAGACCATGAACGTATAGGGTATCAGGTAACAGCGATGATAGGTCACACTAATGTAGTGGTTCCAAGGTCTAAACCTTTGATGCTAATAGCTCCAAAACCACAGGACAAAAAGCCTATGGGACTCCCTCAGAGGATGGGTCCCCTTTCCCCTGGGAGCGTTCGATCTCTTTCGTCACAACAGATGATGAACAGACTCACTATACCAAAGCCTACATTAAATTCTGCAGGAGTGAATATGATGTCAAATGTTCACTTACAGCAAAACAATTATGGAGTCAAATCAGTACCACCAAGTTATGTTGGCCAGCCAGGGGGAAGGCTGAGCTTAAGTGGCAATGCACCAGTTTCTATTCCACAGCAATCTCAAACAATGAAACAGTTTTCAAGTGGAAATGGAAGGCCTTACACTCTCGGGGAGCAGAGATCTCAGGCCTCAGCAAGATACTCTCTTCAGTCTGCCAATTCAACTTCCTTGTCATCAGCTCAGTTGAAACAAACGTCGTTATCTCAGTCACAGGCAGCTTCAAGAGTATTAGGTCAGTCTGGCTCAAAATCTCCTGTAGCTGCTACAGGTCCTTCTTCTGTCAATACATCATCCACACAAAAGTGGAAAATCTGTACAATCTGTAATGAGCTGTTTCCTGAAAATGTGTATAGTGTTCACTTTGAAAAGGAGCACAAGGCTGAAAAGGTGCCTGCAGTAGCTAATTATATAATGAAAATACACAATTTCACTAGCAAATGTTTATACTGTAATCGCTATTTACCCACTGATACATTGCTTAATCATATGTTAATACATGGTTTGTCTTGTCCGTATTGCCGTTCAACCTTCAATGATGTTGAAAAGATGGCTGCTCATATGCGAATGGTTCATGTTGATGAAGAAATGGGACCTAAAACTGATTCCACTTTAACTTTTGATTTGACGCTGCAGCAGGGTAGTCTCACAAATATACATCTTCTCGTAACAACCTACAACCTGAGGGATGCTCCTGCTGAATCTGTAGCTTATCATGCTCAGAACACACCTCCAGTTCCTCCAAAACCACAGCCGAAAATCCAAGAGAAGTCTGATGTACCTGTGAAAAGCTCTCCGCAAGCAGCAGTTCCTTACAAGAAAGATGTGGGGAAAACCCTCTGTCCTCTGTGCTTTTCAATCCTAAAAGGACCCATCTCTGATGCACTTGCACATCATCTGCGGGAGAGGCATCAGGTTATTCAGACGGTTCATCCGGTTGAGAAAAAACTAACCTACAAATGCATTCATTGCCTTGGCGTGTATACCAGTAACATGACTGCCTCAACTATAACGTTGCACCTTGTTCACTGCAGAGGTGTTGGGAAGACTCAGAATGGCCAGGACAAAGGTACTTCGTCATCCCGGCTAAGTCAGTCTGCAGGGGTAGCCCCTGTAAAACGTACGTATGAACACATGGAATTCTCTCTGATGAAGAGAAGGAAAATGGATGATGATGACTCCCCCTCTGCCTTTGAGGAGAAGCCTGAAGAACCGGTAGTTCTAGCATTGGACCCCAAGGGTCACGAAGATGATTCCTATGAAGCCAGGAAAACATTTCTCACAAAATATTTTAATAAGCAACCATATCCAACTAGGAGAGAGATTGAAAAGCTGGCTGCCAGTCTGTGGCTGTGGAAATCTGATATTGCATCTCACTTCAGCAACAAAAGGAAAAAATGCGTTAGAGATTGTGAAAAATACAAACCTGGTGTGCTGCTTGGTTTCAATATGAAAGAATTAAACAAAGTTAAACATGAAATGGATTTTGATGCTGAATGGCTGTTTGAAAACCACGATGAAAAGAATTCCAGAGTTAACGTTAGTAAGACTGTTGATAAAAAAATAAACATAGAAAAAGACAATGAAAGTTCATCAGACAGCTATGAGAATATAGAAGAGGAATACAATGAAAGCAGTAGTCCATTTGGTCCACATATTACTGACATTGGTGAGAAAGCTTCTCCTGATAGCATAGCAGAGAACCCAGAGGATGGCATATCCAAGGAAATCATTGAAGAAAATACCTCACCATCTCCAGAAAAGTCTGATCAAAAACAAGAAGAAAGCTCTAAATATGAGGAGATTATTTCTGCCGAAGGGCAGACAAAACTGGTTGGTGATGTTTCAGATAGTGAAGGTTATCAGGATGATCAAGATGATGCTGTTGAATGGAAAGATGGAGCTTCGCAGTCTGAAAGTGGGCCTGGTTCTCAGCAAGTTTCTGATTTTGAAGATAACACGTCAGAAGTAAAACCAGAAGTGTGGACAGATGAATCCTCACAAAGCGAAGATGCTGGCAGCAGTAAACCGACTGTAGAGACAAAAGGAGGTGGGTCTGAGAGTGATGAAGAGCAGTCAAAGTGGAAGAATCGTTCCTATGGAAAAGTAGAAGAGTTCTGGGCCAAGGACCAGTCGCAATGGAAAAATACATCAGAGATTGAGGAGAGCTTGTCAAATCAGCAGATGGAATGGCAGAACAGCACAATTGACAGCGAGGACGGAGATCACTTTGACGGTGTGACTGATGGGGTAGCAGAACCAATGCACAGCAGCTTATCTGGTGTGGAGCTGAGCAGTCAGCAAGCATAAGCTCCTCGACACGGAAGTGTCAGAGACACGATCCAATCTACAACTGTCTAAACACGTTCATTTCAGTATGACTGCTAAGCTTAAATTCTGACTGGTACTGCCTTCCAAGTGCTAGGTCACGGTGCGTGGTGTTCATGGCCACTGTTACTCCAGTGGTTGAGGATGCCGTTGGCTGATCTTGCTTGTGAGTACTTGCTGGGATGAGCACAGTAATTCAATGTGAAAACAGATAAGCTGGTGGCTCAAGAATGCACACAGAGAAAAGCAGAGGTTTATTTTATCTGCGTTTTCACCATTTATTTCACTCTTGTACATGTTCAGTTGTATGTCTTTTTAAACATTACCCTTTTTCACATGGTAGTGTGTAGGGCCAACATACAAGCTACCAGTTCAACGTGTATAGTAGACTATGGGGAAATTGATTTTTTTCATGTATCATTCTGAATAGTTGAAATGTATATTTGTACAGTCTTTTAGACCTATTCAAGTGAAGCTTATGAAATTGTTCTTGTGTACCCATCATAGATTTGTTTCTCTTTTTTAGTGTTGCCCTGCTGTGTAATAAATGCTGTATTTAGTTTACCTAGCAAAAGCTTGAAACTGCTATAGTACGAATTTTGACAAACTTAGTTTTTGCACATAACCTTGTACAATCTCAAAAACAGAGGCCAGCACCATAAAAAAATATATCTGGACTCTTATTGTATTATAGAATTTTCTTGTTCTGAGTATCCTTGACATTACAACTGATGACAAACGTATTTCAGAGCCATTTTCTGAAATCTTTTAAGCTAAAGATGAAAAATCACATGCAAGAAACAAGTTTGCAGCTACTAATTTTGACACCTTTTAGATCTGTATAAAAGTGTATTGTGTTGAAGCAGCACACTTAAAACAACAGTGCTGTGTTTTGGATATTTAGTTTTATCTTTAGTTAACACCAACAAGGTGTTGTATTCATTTATACCATCTAATATATGACACACTGTTGTAGTATGTATAATTTTGTGATCTTTATTTCCCTTTGTATTCTTCATTTAAACATCTAAATAAATTGCTGTATTGTGCTTACTGTAAATATCTGCTTTATTACATGCAAGTGCCACATTCCTGCTTGGGCAATCCCGCCTTGCTAAATTTTGTGGGGTTTTTCTGTTTGGCATTTTTTGTTCATTTCCTAACAGTTCCTAAAAAATGCTGCACAGCATTGCTGGGGCATGTATGTACAGTATTTTCTTACTGAATAGACTAATCTCTTCAAGGACATGGAGAAATCTTACTAAACTAACTTTGTCTGAATTTGCCTTGACTATTCAGCCTTCCAGAATGGTAGTTTATCAATAAAGTTGTAGTGATTACAGTGCTTTGTCCATAGAGGCAGTCCATCGATTGTGTTTCTCATTCCCTTATGCCAACGAAGATCGGTCGCACATACTGAAACGTTTCTTAGAACTGTGCCTGCTTCTGCGTCGCTACGTGTTGAGGGTAAATGATATCCCCACACCTTCCCTGTCATTTAAACATAAAGGAACATGCCTGCCCTACAACCTGCAGCCTTTTGGGGGATGGGGAGAGTTTGAAAAAGTAAGTACTGAAAAACCCACAAAAATCTATTGAAATGAATGATTGGTTTGGTCAGATCAGTTCTGTGTTTCCTCAGATGTGCAGTACAGGACAGCTGTCCAACCACAACGTCACTGGGACAGTTATTTACTCAAGAGAATCTAATTGTGATGAAAACCAAAGTATACTTAACTAGAGCAATGAGCTTGATTTAAGTATACATCTAATAAAATACTGAAATATTTACCTTCTGATGCTTTACAAGGATTAAATTTACATTTGAAATCTTCATTAATATAAAGGAGGAAATTGTTCTGTTCTTCAACATATTACACAGCAAAACTTTCATAAAGATTTGAGAAGACTTCTCTGTAGCCTTTTCAGGTAAGTGCAAACTGTACTTTCTACCAGTATAATGAACAAGCCAAATACCAAAATATGCATGTGTTCTCTTGTTCTGCAACTGATTCAGGCTGCTGGTGCATTAGAAGATAAGTTCTTGATGTTTACATCAGAGGAAGAGCTCCGTGTGCTTCTCTGCCATAAGAGAAAACTCAAGTCTCGGGTCTTATTTTGTTACCAAACTTTCTGAAGTGTTTACCTGAAAATAACTTTTCAGTAAGTCAACTGAGTCTATTAACTACTCTCCATAGATGCTGGTTGGGTGGTGGCTTTTTCCAGCAATGTCAACTATGGGAAGTCCTGGAAGAGGCTAATAAAAGTTGTTAATGTCCCTTTCCCCTTTCTGTTGGCTGTTCTGTTTCCCAGAATGCTACAGTCCAACTGAATTTCAGACTTTGTAGCACATCACTGAGGCTTTAAGAGAAGAAATAATGTTAGAAATACAAAATGTTGTAATATTAAAAAAGCCTGCAAAAGTCTGCATTTGTCTGCATTCGCCTTTACTATTAGCATTCTAGAACACTAGTTCATTTTTTAAAATGTAGTGATCATCATGCATTCTGGAGAAAAAGTCCATGAATTCCTTGCATTAAACTCTTACAGGACACAGTACAACAACCACCATCTGTCAGGCAGCAAAGTAAAAAAATCTCAGAAATGGGCATCATATTTCTTAGTATCTGTTCAGGTTGGTTTCACATTAGTAGCCTATAGTTGAGGTCACATTTCCAAAGAGAGTTGCTGGCTGATATCAGTAAATATTAAGACTGAAGTAAAAACTGAGAAATGTTTTATTTGCCAGAAAATGCCAGGATAGGAAATACAATCTTAAGTAGTGACTAAAGTAAAGGCTTTGCATAAAATTAGTACTTAACAGAAATACAAAGACATGTTTGTTTCTAAAACTCCAGTATTTCAAACAAGCCACTCTTAAAATCTGCACCTTAGCCTGGGCAAGAGTTCCTTTCTGCACTGGAGGCATACCACATTTGTTGTAGTCGTGAAGCAGAAGTAGTAAATGGCCCAATAAAACTGGATCAAATCTAGATTGTGTTTATTACATCGTAGTTTATTGCAGCATTATAGTTGTGTGAGATGGAAGATGTCCGATTTCTTCATACATTATCAGAGTTGTGTGTGAGATCTTGGAAGCATGCTAGCTGTGCCTGCAGAGCAGCCAGCTCAGAAAATGGTTTATGCCCGGCTTTGGCCAGCATGATAGGACAGACAGATCCCTTAACTCAACAATTTCCTTTAGCCAGTTTACCTGAATTGAAGCAAAGTGAAGCGTGCTTTCATCTGAAACGTTGCCTGCAAACTAAAGGCTTAACTCCTGAGAAGGAAGTGGATGATGAGCAGACACATTACTTCTAGCTGCAAGACAGCACTGTGCAACAAAAACTGGAAGGAAGCGTGACCTGGTAATGTGTCTTGAGGAGAAACTGAGGCTGGCAGGGACAGCCTGAGAACGGCAGAGGTATTTGCACTTCTATAGGACACTTGTAACTATATTTGGGTGGGTGGTCATGGGGGTTTGTTATTCCTGTGACTTCAAACCCTCCTTTCTTGCACTGACCCGCAGCTGGGATGCACTGCCTCAGCAGGTACAGTTCTCTCAGTTGTGTTCCTACACAACTTACCTCATTTTTTATCAGAACCAAAAGATTCAGGAGTATGGTGTCTGTACTGTCTCTTCATTTCTGTTAATAAAGCAGCTGATGATTTGCTCAAAAGGTTGGTATAATGAGTATTTTGTGCCTTTTGTAATTAGTTTTCCCCTCTAGTTAACACTAGTTAATTTCTAGTAATCCATTACGATAGCCTGCACTGCACTAAGTCTGTCTTTTGCTTTGTATTTTAATTCACTTTATCTTTCATCACCAATTCCACTCATACATACGTAAGCGTTGAGTTCATTTATTTCAGCTCTGGAAAATCTCCATGGTTGCTCAAAGCCATAGAGCTTTACTTTCACCGTAAGATTTTTTTTTCCTTCTTTCTCCCAGTTTCCCTTTCTGGTATTTGCAGGTGACACAGGCGTTTTTAAAGCAAGAGCATTTGTTTCCTCTTTCTTCAAACTACTATTTGCAAAGCCAACTGTCTGAAATGTTTTTCTTTCAGAAGCAATCTACCATCTTGACCAACCCCTCCTTATTATTGCCATAGTGAGACCTTCTGTACATAAAGGAGACAAGTATCTTCTAAGTATATAACCTTCTCTTTCTAATTTTCCTTATTCAGATATTGATTTTGTCCACCTACACAAAAAAAAAAACGCAAAAAAAAAAAGCTACAGGTGGGGAGATGAATATTTTATGTAAAGTGCTAATTAATTAAATAGAATCATCGTTACAAGGTGGCACATCCAAAGGTCCATTACAACTTTGCAGAAAGTTTATTCATATCATTCAACTTAGGTTACGCAACAGCTTTTACAAACCCTATGCCTGTAATGGAGTGCTAGAAAGTTTGGCCATATGTGGTTTATTGAATCTTTAAATTTTGACCCCCGATTTCATGCTCTAATTTGTAACTTGATCATTTGTGAGGCTGGCAGTTCTAGCATGCAATACTAGCACTATCTTTAACCTTCTGATCATCTTAAGTAAAAATGTGAAGTTCAATATATTTGCTTTGCTGGTTCTGTAAGTGTAAACTTATGGTGTAAACTACTGTGATCAAATCATAGAATAAATGTTCCAGCCTCTACATGGCCACAATATGATTGGAAAGATTCAGTTTCCCTTTAGAGATGCTAACCAAAGATTCAAAATATAACAGTTGCTTCTAGTTTTATATATATGTATATGTATATATGTGCATATATATATATATATGTATGAACTGTAAGAACAAACCCAGCCTCTTATAAAGGAGACACAAATTAATGATTTTGATACTTGGTACCTGCATTATTCATAGGGAATGTCTTCGGTTTGGTAGAGTATTGGCAGACCTTAAAGTGCCATCATGGAGGAGGTCTGAAACAAAAACAGGACAGAAATTAAAATATTATTTCCTGCAGTTTTTCTTCCAAATTTAACACACAGAATCACAGAATTGTCACAGTTGGAAAAGACCTTGGAGTCTTCAAGTCGAACCGTCAGCCCAACACCATGGTGCCCATTATAGAATCATAGAATCATTTCTTAGCATGTTTCAAAATGCAACACAGAATCCTCAGAGTTGGAAGGGACTCCTGAGGGTCCATCCAGCCCAACTCCCCTGCAATGCGCAGGGACACCACAGCTAGACCAGGTTGCCCAGGACCTGATCCAGCCTGGCCTTGAACATCTCCAGGGATGGGGCATCCACAACAATTCGGTGCAACCTCCTCCAGTGCCTCACCACCCTCACTGTAAAGGACTTTTTCCTTATATCCAACTTAAATCTACCCTCTCCAGCCATTTCCCCTTGCTCTGTCACCACGGGCCCTGCTAAAGAGTCTGTCCCCTTCTTTCCTGCAGCTCCCCTTTAGATACTGACAGGCTGCCCTCAGGTCATTGCAGAGCCTTCTCTTCTCCAGGCTGCACAGCCCCAGCTCTCAGCCTGTCCTGCGTTGGAGCTGTGTACCAAACGAGGCACAAGATGCAGAAGATGAAATGGCTAGATTAAACCTTTGGTAGCTTGCATGAATGTCAAACAAAAACAGAACAAAAAAGCTAAGAAAAAAAAGCTAAAACTAATTGTTTCAAGCTGCAATTCTTCAAACAAACACTCTATATACTCTGCTTTATTTCATGAAGGAAACTATGCTATTCCCCATTAGGAAGCTGTGGTTTTGTTTTTAAAATGAGTGGGTTTTCTGCTTCCTTGGTTTCAGAAATATGCTGTTGATTACTTTGATTTCATGTCTTGCATCCTAGAATGCATATTTAACCACAGACTGTTACATCTATGATAATAATGTGGTTTATTAGACACAGTAGTAGTTCCTGCAAGTCCCAACACCAGGAGAAGTGAAATTCCTCAGACATCTGGCTTTACTGAATTTGTTCTTTTATGCCTGATACTTTTTTTTTTTAAGCATCTTTCTTTCTAAACACTTTACTCTCAAACAGACAAGAGCATCAGGAGCTGAAGTGGTAAAATTACACGTGTTTGTATTTATACGTATCTGGGGAATCCACACACAATGCTGTGAAAAGCTGAGGGTCTGCTAGCCAGCAATTTCAACTCCGTTGCATTTAATATGAACCAGGGTAACGCTGGTGAAAATGATCCTCCAAACACAGGTGATGCTGAATGACCATGTCAGAATTCCAATAGCGCAGATTTAATCTAGCAGAAATATCTACTCACATGTATACACACACATACACAAATATACACACACACACACACACGAAAAGCTTCTCGGCCAGCAATATCTGCATGTGCTCTTGATCGTATGATAAGAGATGTGGGGGAAAAAACAACATCTTGTATTAGAAGTTATTATCCAATACAAGGTAACTGGCTTTGTAAACTGCTTGAAAAACATTTGCCTTCACATCTGATTCTCCAGATTTAGCTTAGCAATCACCTTAGCAGGATTAATATTGAACAGTTAAAAATAGGGTAGAACACAGGGGAAATTAATTTTAAAGCACAGAAAAATGTAAATTAGTTAGCAATGCTAGGAAAGAGTGACTAAAGAAGAAATATAGAAAGAGATTTGGTTTTGCTTCTGGGGCTTTGAAAAAATCAAATAATTGATTAATCCTGTACCGAGGAGATCAAATATTTCAGCAGTACAGTTCAAACCTAAAAACCTAGCTAAAATCTCACTCTCAGGGGCAAATTATGAACCTCTCTGTAAAATTAAAGGTTTTCAGGTTACAAATGTGTATTTCCAGATAACAGTTGGCTGCTTAGATGTAATCCTCACATTTATCTGTATTTTCATTCATGTGTTTCAGGCCACACACCTGTTTACATACATTTCTTGATGGTATCCACTGCTAATCCTTTGGGATAACGTCTATCCAGGCACAATTTAAGAAGTAAATACTCATTTATGCCATGACCTAAGCACTGCTACCTAATCTGCACTGCTCTGTTGGCATTGTCCAAGCTGTGGGTAGAATCCCCAGCCATCCTGATTAACCCTTGATTTGCACAACTGGGAACAACTCTCCATTCACAGAGAAGGATGCTTGTTAACTATTAGGATACACAAACTTTGCTTTGGGAGAGAAACACTGGCAGTGAGTTATCGACAGAAGCACGTGGGTTTGAAACTTTTAAGTGCAGACCCAAACAAAAGGAGAATGCGCTCCTTTCAATGCGCAGAGCACTGCGTGATGATGTGGGAGTGTGATGTAGAAGGCAACTCCTTTTTCCTCTAAGGCTGAAAATCAACAGTCACTCACAACCACTGGGTAAGAGAAGATAAAGAGCCAAAATCAATGAGGTAAGTACTACTAATAATGAAGTTCACCTCTGCAAAACAGAAAGGAGAACCAAAGAAATGAGCAGCGAAGCTGTAGTTTGCCTTCTCAGTGCAATACTCAAATGTTTTTTAGTTCCCAAAAAATAAAGGTAGTGAGAAAAAAAAGTTAAAAATGATTCCTATGGGAGATGAGCATAAGTTGGGCTCAGAAGCTTGTGTTTTGAAACTGGAGTACAAGTGGATTAGGAGCATCAGCTGCAGAATTTTCTTCCTGAGAAAATACTAAAGCCTTTTCTGACCCTGGTGCCTGTGCCCATCATGAGCTGAAGTCAGCAGAGCTGCACATCCGACCTCTCCCACAAAAGCTTCCAGTGCCAACCTCAGGAAACTCTACCGAATTCTGTTTGAAGATAATCTTACTTTCTCCTTTTTCCTTCAAGTCTGTGGGATCACTGCAAAGGCTTGAAAGCAGTTCATTAGCTGTTTAGTAAGGAGCACAAGGATGCAGAGGCTTTTGCCAAGACAGCGTGGGATGGAATAGAGATGCAATCGTTCTGAAGAACCTTACAGCAAAAAGTATTCTAAGCATGCAGTCTGCGATCTTGTGCTTAGGCATGCTATCCCACCAGACCTCCTTCCCTTCTGTGATTAATCTACTCTCTCATTAATATAATTTTTCCAAAAAACTGTTGCCAGAAGGAGCACGTCCTTTAAAAAATAAAGTCTGGATTTGTCTTCTTGTTGCCATTTGTGCTTGGTCTGACAGTCTGCATCTGTGAATCTTTCCATGAGGCAGTTGGCTCCGGCTTCAGCACTCTGTCTCTCCATTAATTTCTCAACTAGAAGCAGTAATATATTTGGGGCAGCCCCTCACATATTAAGGCTCAGGAAAGCCAAAGTGGAATAGGAGTGAAAGAACAAAGCATAGTGAGGAAAACAATAATTCCTAGCATTTCTATCTGCAGGAGCACAAAAAGCAGAAACCAGACATTTAATCTTTACAGTATCCCTCCTTAAATAAGCCTGCTCATTTTACTAATGAGACAACAGAAATATTTTCTGAAAGGTCTGCTCCTAGAATTCCAGGTCCCTCTCTAGTGGTACAATCTAGGGAAATGAGGAAAACAGGGCAGATCCAAGTGAGGACTGTTACAACAGATTGGTAAAAACAAGACAAAAACAAACAAAACACACAGGTGCTCTGTATGCATTCGAGGATGCTTAACTTGCTGGTGCACATAATTGTGAGGCTGGTGCATATCTCCTTAAAGGTCAGGGCAATCAGAGAAAGTCCTTAATAACTGGAAAAAAGCCAAATGTCACCCTTATCTTCAAGAATGTCAAGGAGGAAGATATTAGAAACTAAAGGATGCTGAACCTAATCTCAGTTCCCAAGAAAATACAGAGTAAATACTTTTGGAATCAATTTCCAATGCTTCCAATAAAATGAAGTGATTGGAAAGAGAGTACGGCTCCAACTAGGGCAAATAATTGTTAGCCAACCTAATTAACAGCTGGCTAAAAAGCAGCTTTGCAGAAAAAAATATGAAGACCCTCACAGACAGCAAGCTGAAGTGGAATCAGCAGGGTGTTTTGGCAGTGATAAAAACTAACAGAACACTGGAATCAGCAGAAGTACAGTCAGCAGGCTCAGGAATGTGATCACTTCCTGCCATCCAGTCACATCTATCAGACTGAACCCAGAGGACTTCACATTTAGAACAAACCTAACATTTATCAATGAGAAATAGTGCCAGAAAAAAAATCATACAGGAGAAGTACTAAAATAGAGAGGTTCGAGTAAGGCAATAGGAACAGCAAACACACAGCACCTTGTGCAATTCTAGAGATAGCAGAAACATGACAAAACTGGTAGCATTAAATCTAGCCTGACAAAATAGTCAATATTCTGGTGTTCGATGAGAAGTCGTTCATACAGAGAAACTGACCCGTTCACAAGTCACAGTGCACAACTACATTCCATTTCCAATAGTAGTACACCAGGAAACAAAGATCGAAGAGGTTCAGCTCATATGTCAGCCTGTAGTCAGAAGACACAATGCTGTCCTGTGACAGCATAAGAAAAAAATCAGTCCATAAAAACAAGAACAGCCAGCATGCATACACCATCAAATCTAAGCTTAGTAACTTGTCTCCACATGAGACCAATCGCCCATGCTTTAAGTATGAAAACAGTGTGAGTATGCAGCATTGCAGCCCTGACTTTTCTACAGACCTATAGGAATTTGAGGATCCCCAGAAACAGAAAGGTAATTTTACTAAATGACTTCATCTGATTAACTTCAACATACATACATCTTCTATTTAAAGTTGTAACAGTGAGTTCCCACACTTCGTTGATACCTTACATGACAAAAAAACTCCCTTTGCTGGTTTTCAGTCTATTTCCTGCAATTTTAGATTTCAAAGAACTCTAACGCATCCTTCTTCAGTGTGGAAAAGAGAAGACTAAAATTGCTGTGTTTCGATGGTTCTCAAACACAACCCAGTTTTTGTTTCGGGTGCCTTTTCTAGTTCTGCTGCCAGGAGCAGTACTTCAGCAGTACTGAAGAACAGAGTCACGAATTTACATTGGCAAAAGGTCTT